CTTATTGGAACATCTCTGAGGGTGAGATTTTACCTGTAATCAGTTTCTTAATGTATTAGGCTTAGACTTGCGTGTTTTTGTTTTATTTTTCTTGGTGACTTACTTTGTTCTGTATGTTATTACTTGAAACCACTTAAATCCTACTTTTTATACTTAATAAAATCACTTTTGTTTATTAATAAACCCCAGAGTAAGTGATTAAGACCTGGGGAGCAAACAGCTGTGCATACCTCTATCCGTGTTATAGAGGGTGGACAATTTATGAGTTTCCCCTGTATAAGCTTTATACAGAATAAAATGGATTTATTTGGGGTTTGGATCCCATTGGGAGCTGGGTGTCTGGGTGTTGGAGATAGGTGATTTGCTGAGCAGTTTTTGGTTAAAGCCTGAAGCTTTGGGGGTGTGGACCAGACCTGGGTCTGTGTTGCAGCAGGCTAGCATGTCTGGCTCAACAAGGCAGGGTTCTGGAGTCCCAAGCTGGCCTGGAAAAAGGGCTCAGAGGTAATTTCAGCATGTCAGGTGACAGTCCCAAGGTGGTCTCTGTGACCAAACCCATCACAGCTATGTCTTGCTGGTCAGTTGCAATGGGTCTCATGTGACTGAAAGGGGGTAGATCTGTTTCCACTGTGCGCTAGTAATCTTGAATAAACCAAATTTAAAGTTCTAGTATAGCCAGTCTTGGAATATGGCCCAATAAAAATGTTAGAAGAATTTTCCTAAAGCAAATCATACCAATTAAACCTAAATAAAAAATGGCATAACCAAGTCACTTCAGATTTTGACCCCAAGTTGTCTTCTGACCACAGACCATAGCAATCCTAGGCTATTGTCTCTTAGTGCCCCACCACCACCACCTTTGAAAACTCTCTTGGGCTTCCTTCGTCTTTGTGAATCACCACCCTGCATCTACTCCAGACAGTAAACACAGGCCGTCTCTGTGATAGCACATGAATTAAATCTCTGTCTACAAAATCCCAGAGGACAACCTTAACCACAAGACTAGTCATCCCTCTTTTACAAATATCCTTACTCTAAATTTCTCAAAAGTCCTCTGCACCTGAGAGATTTTTTACTCCTGTTCTTTTTTTAGATGGGACAGAACACCACACCCAGGAGGTGTGTGGGTTACATACTTCCCCTAGCTGAGGCAGCGCATCCTAAGCTTGAGAGTCTTCCCAGTTGAAATCCCGGACAAGCCCCCACTTGTAACGCCGATAGACCCCAGTCACCGGCGGACAGAATCGAACTGGGAACCTCTAGAGCTTAGTGCATGAGCCTCTATAGCATGAGCTAAAAGCCAACTGATTGTTAGCTAAGGCTGTAGAGCAGACTCACTTTCTCTCTCTCTCTAAGTGGTCTTGGTGCCACTAGATGGGACAGAACACCACACCCAGAAGGTGTGTGGGTTACAGCTACCCTGTGCGGGCATCGAATATACCATGGCACTTTTGGCTAGAGATGGGGTTTGCTCTAATGTCTTTGGTCAAAAATTCCCCTTTTCTTTATCACCAACATACTGTGCAGTGCTCGGTTATATGTAAATACATGTATATAATTGGAAAGCATTGTGGGATACTTTGGTACGAAAAATGCTACAATAGTGTTATAATATACAATTGCTTTACCATGTGTCAGGTCACATTCAATTAACATATGAGACATCTTGTTAGATAACACTACTTCCACTGAGAATCTCATAGCGCTTTACAAACCTTAATGAATTTAGCCTCACAGTACTCCTGGAACGAAAGGTAGGTACTAGAAATTACATTTTACACAGGCAGGGTAAGTAACTCATCCATGATCTCATGGTGAGCCGGTGGCAGAGACAAGGACCCAGGTTTTCTAAGAAACAGGCACAGCTGCCAATATACCTTCCAAGTAGCTTTTAAACTGTTTTGTTTGCAGTGTTTTCAGGGGCAAATGTAGGTCAGACTGTGGCCAGCAAACACATTTATCCCTGTATGCAATGATAATGCCTTCAATTACTTTTCATGTTTGGCCTTTTCATGCTATTTTTCTTCATCTAAATATATATATATTTTTAAAAGTGTGTAAGAGGTCATTTTAGGTAGGTAGATAATAGGGAAAATTGATTTGCAAAGGAGCAATGTGCATGAGAGAGTTGAAGCAGATGTTCCCTACAACAAGGCTGCTTTTCCTTCAAAACACTTGTGAGTAAATGTAGTGCTCATGAGAGTGAGGGACTCAGTGACCTGGGTTTGTGTCAAGTCTCATCATGAGTAAAAAACGGGTATAGGCTCTGTTCCTATATCATAGTTCTGAACTATTCTTTCTTGCGCTCTACTTGTGATCTGGACTGAGAACACCAACTCCTTTCACACAGGCCATCAAACAACCTTCAGCTGAGAACCTTCAAGCTGTTCTAAGGTCACCAAGGGCCAAACCAGCTCTACAAACGAGGGAGTAGTAAAGGGAAAAAAAGAAGGATGGTTCAGAAGTTAGGGTGCTGATTTAGGAGACTTGGATTCACTTCCCTACACCCCGCCTCCACTTTCCTTGTGATCTTGTTCAAAGTTACGTAGGCTCTGGCTGGGGGTGACACTGTATAAAAGAAAGGTGACCATGGTTACACTAATGTAACACGACTGTTGCACAATTGTGATAAATCTTGTACAGAATATGTCTTGTAAGGTATCAATAGAAAAGTTATAGTCTGCTAAGTATTATTATCCTGTTTAAATCCACATATCAGCATTGTCGCTGAAGTTATAAATATTTGCTATGTGTTTGTATCTCAAACCTGTTGTGTTTCTGGGTAACACCCACAAGGCAGATTTACATCTAGACTGGCCAGCCATGCATTGATTGCGCTTTAAGGGCAATCAGCTCTTCCAGGGACCTCCTCCTGGGGTTGCTTCAGGCAGCAGGTAGGCAATGAATGCCTCATGACTCAGCAAGACACATGTGACCCAGGACTCCATGTTTGTGCCAGTAACTTTCCATGCACCTGGACTAAGGGGTATAAATTGCAGACTGTGACATCATTCTTTGCCTTCAATCCTGCTCCATTTCTCTGGACTATGATTTTCCAACAAGAGGGAAGCTTTCAATAAAGGACTGATGACCCTCAATCTTTTTGGGTGATCCAGAGAGACTTATTGCAAGCAAGCAGAATGACCATCACTGCTATTATCCTGACCTACAGACTCTGAAATCAATTGTAATGTATATGATTCCTTTAATCATTTAATAAGGCTCTCCTTTTCTTTTTTTTAAATAAATGTTTAGTTGGTTTACTTAAGATTGACTGCATTGTGGTATTTGGTGAGATTCTCAAAGTATGTGTTGACTTTGGGATTGGAAGAACCTAACGTGTGGTGAATTTTGATTTTAATAATCTTTCATCACTAAGTCCAGCTGTCTGGGTGGTAACCGGGGGTTGGAGTGCCTAGGGGTCT